AGACCTAACCGCTCAGTATTTTTAACTAATTCTTTGATAGGCTCATTCAGGTTGACCAGAGTTATGTTCTGGCTACCTCTCCAGTTAGCGCTTTTTTTTTTTTTCAGATGCCAAAAATGGCCTCCAGAATAAAAACCTTCTCAAGGCTCCAGCTTTCACTGAAATTAGTCCATACCAAGGGAAGTGTAACACAACTACATAATGTAAAAGAATACATAAATACATTTGAGGTACAATAGATTCTTAGAAAGAACCAGAAAAATGAACCAACCTTCATTCTTTTTGCACTCAACTGTATATGTAAATTATAATCTTTCCATTCATTGATTAATAAAATTGTAGGTATAGCTTGTCTATTGTATAGTCCATTTTCGCTTTTTTAGTTATATTCATATATAATAATAATAATATACTGGATGACTGGAATCCACTGGAATCCACTGGACTCCACTGGACTCTGACTGGACTCATAGTCCACTGGACTGGGACTGGACTCTGAAAAGTGGCTGGCAGTCCAGTGGGAGTCCAGTGGACTGGACTGGACTAGACTGGACTGGACTCCAGTGGACTGGGCATTCTGCCAGCCAATCTGGCCTGGTAAGAGGGCCACTGGAGTCCACTGGAGTCCATATGGATTACATGGGGGAGGGTAAAGACCTCTATTTGGCTTTGTTTAGAACCAATGCTATTGCCCAATTGTCATCCAAACCCATCCTCTTGCATCCACCCAATGCCTGCATGTTTGTGATGGGGAAATTGATGGGAGATATGCTTAAATATTATAGTGACCCTAATCTATTTTTACTTTGTGTTATATTGAGCAGAGGAAATTAGAAAAGCCGAAAATCTAACCAGACATGCTCATTTGAGCATTTGTTTACATATATTTACTAATCGCCTTCCAGTCAAAAAAATTTGTAGTGTCTATTACAAAAGTTTGTAGTGTCTGTTTTTATAGACTACAAAAGTTCATAGTGTACAGTTTTTTACAGCCATTGAGGTATCTTTTAAGGCTACAAAAATTGGTAGTGTCTGCTTTTTAAGACTACAAAAATGGGTAGTGTCTGCTTTTTCAGACTACAAAACTTTGTAGTGTCTGCTTTTCAAGACTACAAAATTTTGTAGTGTCTGCTTTTCCAGACTACAAATGTTTGTAGTGTCTTGCTTCTTCATTAGCAAAGTTTGTAGTGTCCGATTTTTTAGACTACAATGATATCCTTGACTGTGTAGGTACATGAAAATAAAGAAGTTGACTTTATACAAAAAGCCCTCCATCATTCAGTCTTTGTACCTTGCAGAGAATTATAGTCAAGACTGACTATTGGAAAGGGTTGCATAGTGGCAAATGAGACAGGATGTCAGAGCCTTCAAACTCTTCAGAGAGACCATGTGCAGAGGGTTAAATATGGTTGGCAAACATGCCTAGATATGACCAGAGAATGGCTGGGGCTGGCAAATGGAAAGATAGGACTTGGATAGGACACCACTGATGTGAAACATAACTTGGGCATGACATTGAAGGGTTTGCATTCTTTGACATCTCACTGTAGGCTATATATCTGATCTTCATGATCAATTTCAGTAGGTAACCCTTAAACTTTTCTAAAGAAAAAAGCAGAGACTACAAAATTTGTAGTCTCAGAAAGCGGAGACTACAAAGTTTTCTAATGGAAAACGAGGAGACTACAATTTTTTTGTAGTCTTGCTTGTGTGGAAGCTATTGGTAAATATATGTAAACAAACTTCGAA